TTTTGGGGGGCCACTCACGTGTTTTTTGGGGATGGGGGGGTGGCAGAGGGAGCCCCCAAATCCCCCCCAAATCCCCCTAAATCCCCTCAAATCCCCCCAAATCCCCCCCAAATCCCCTCAAATCCCCCTCAAATCCCCCCAAATCCCCCCCGATTTTCTTCCAGTGTTTTTGGGGGCCACTCACGTGTTTTTTGGGGATGGGGGGGTGGCAGAGGGACACCCCCAGGGTGACCCCGGCGGTGGCGAGGAAGAGGAGGACGGCGAAGTGCAGGTAGTGGAGGCCGCAGAGGGCGCGGGGGCAGCGCCCGGGGGTCCCGCAGGACCCTCCCCCCAAATCCCCCAGGGCGAACTCGGGCACCAAACGGGACAGGCCCAGGCACAGACCCCCCAGCAGACCCCAAAACGCGCCCTGGGGGAGGAAAAAAGGGAAAAAATGGGCAAAAATTGCATTAAAGTAACCAAAAATGAGCAAAATTGACCTAAAATTGCACCAAAATGGCCCCAAAACACCCTGAAATGGGACGAAATTGCCTCTAAATTGCCCCAGATTACCCTAAAATGACCCCAAAATGGTCCCCAAATGAGCCCAAAATGGTCCCAAAATGAGCCCAAAATACCCCAAAAATGAGCAAAACTGACCTAAAATTGCCCCCAAATGACCCCAAAATAATTGCTCCAAAATGGGGCGAAATTGCCCCAAAATGGAACAAAATTACCCCAAAATGCCCCCAAAATAATTGCTGCAAAATGGTGCAAAATCACCCCAAAATGGAAAGAAATTGCCCCAAAATGGCCCCAAATTGCCCTGAAATGGGATAAAATTGCCCCAAAATGGAACAAAATTGCCCCAAAATGACTCCAAAATGAACAAAACTGACCTAAAATTGCCCCAAAATGGCCCCAAAATAATTGTTCCAAAGGGTGTAAAATTGCACCGAAATATCCTGAAATTACCCCAAAAAGACCTGAAATTACCCCAAAATGGCCCCAAAATAATTGCTGCAAAATGGTGCGAAATTGCCACGAAATGGAACAAAATTGCACCGAAATGGGACAAAAATTACCCCAAAATGGGACAAAATTGCACCAAAATGACCCCAAAATAATTGCTCCAAAATGGTGCAAAGTTGCACCAAAATGGAACAAAATTACCCCAAAATGACCCCAAAATGAGCCCAAAATACCCCAAAAAATGAGCAAAACTGACCTAAAATTGCCCCCAAATGGCCCCAAAATTATGGCTCCAAAATGTCCTGAAATTAGTCCAAAATGACCTGAAATTACCCCAAATTGACCTGAAATTACCCCAAAATGGCCCCAAAATAATTGCTCCAAAATGGGATAAAATTGCCCCAAAATGGGACAAAATTGCCCCAAAATGGCCCCAAAATAATTGCTCCAAAATGGGACAAAATGGTTTCGAAATGGCCCAAAATTCAGCCAAAATGGCCCTGAATTGCCCCAAAATTGAACAAAATTACCCCAAAATAATTGCTCCAAAATGGGACTAAATTGCCCCAAAACGGGACAAAATTGCACTAAAAACGGAACAAAATTGCACCAAAATGGGACAAAATTGCCCCGAAATGGAGCAAAATTGCCCCAAAATGGGACAAATTGCCCCAAAATGACCCCAAAATAATTGCTCCAAAATGGGAATAAATTGCCCCAAAATGGGACAAAATTGCACCAAAATGGGACAAAATTGCACCAAAATGGAACAAAATTGCCCTGAAATGGGACAAAATTGCACCAAAATAACCCCAAATTGGCCCTAAATCGCCCCAAAATGACCTGAAATTACCCTGAAATGGAACAATAAATAACAGGGATATTAATTGCCAATTAGCCCCATTTAATCCCCTATTAGAAGCTATTAATCGCCTATTAGAAGCTATTAATCCCCAATTAGCCCCCATTAATCCCCAATTATCCCCT